TATTTCTCTGAAAGTCCACAGAGGAAACTGAATCTCCTTTGTGACTGGATCAGGAACAAGTAAAGGTAAGGCATACTGACACTGAGAGAGCTTTGTAATCATCATCTGTTTCAGGAAGCTGTCTGAGCAGTGAAATACTGCCATCTGAACGTCCATTGGATGTACACAATCCTTCTCTTTCTTATTTGTGTCTACAGTGGTTTTCAAGAAAAGCTCTAGATCACTGTCATCATCTATCTCAGTGTCGTCAGCTACTGACATAGATGACTTCGTGTCGTCAGATGACTTAGGACTGTTTGGTCTTACAGGAATATATCTGGCCCTGTAGTCCAACATTATCAGCCTGTGGAGAAAAGTGTGAGCTAGATCTTTCTCAGATGTTACATGGTCGATCTGTTTCACAGGTGGAAGTATTTGAAGAAAATCTGCTGGTGACAACTTCTGTTCAACATTGTCTTGAAGATGAAGTCTGTCAAGCAGTGTCTGTATTAACAAATAATAAAGAGGTACTACATGTAATCAAATTACATTGTCATATGGCAGAACAGAGTAAATATTCATTTTGATCTTTTGAATAAAGGTTTATTCTCCTACCTTCTTGTTTCCACTTATGTAATCATCGGTGGTTTCTGCAGGATTGCATGAACCAGATATGCATTATACACAGTGCATGTTGCTGCAAATTCTTTCAAAGTTATGAAGTCAGCAGTTTATATATTTTTTGCTTTTTGTGTTATTGTATAATGAAAAAATTTTACCGTTGTCATTGGTTTTGGATGATTCATAAAATTTACCTCCTGGTTTTCTCTCCTGGTCATCAATGTGTTCACCCACTGGACCACTCTGAGAAGTAAAACCATTACCCTGAAATTTAGCTTATCAGATTAATACCATTGACATATATAACAACAGAATTAAAAGGTCTTGCTTTGTAGTCAAAGGAGCTTGCAAAGAAAAGCGTCTGGACTTCTTTAAGTTACTTGAAGACGTTTCACCTCTCATCCGAGAAGCTTCTTCAGTTCTAAGGTCAAATGGTGGGGAGTCCCAGATATAAACCTAGTGGGAGTTTCCCCCCACAGAGGGACAAAAGGACCCCCTGATGATCCTCTAATCCCATGAGCCAAGGTGTGAAAATGGGTGTGGGTCCCAAGCAGCCAGGGTTTCGGGTGAGCTCATTGTGAAACCTGGCCCCACCTTATCATGCGATTTCCTGAGGTCAGATGGCCCAGGATGTGAGTGGGCGTTAAGGCGTCTGGGAAGGGATCTCAAAACTGGATTATAGATGGCAGAGAGTTGGTGTCGTAAACCACCGCTCTGTTCAAAGATGTCACTCACAGTGGACATAGATGGCTTCTTTCACTCCTCTTTCAAACCATCTGTCCTCTCTGTCCAAAATGTGAACATTGGCATCCTCGAAAGAGTGTCCTTTATCCTTTAGATAAAGTCACCAGCAGTCCATCTGCATCTTAAGTTTAAGCTGTTACTATAATCAAGTGATCTGAGGGATCGCTAAACTTCTGCATTCCTGCTCCTTATTTTCAGACTTCATAAATGCAAGAGTGTGTGAAGGAAACCTTATAAACCCCTACATGCTGTTCATATTTGAACCATAACTGACCTGAACCATCACATGGTGGTTTTTGTCAATTTTGACCCAGGCCAAGAATTCCCCCATCATACATGTCTATACAGAATTTTGAACTACAGACTTATTTACAGTGTATAAATAAACAATGGATGATTAACCTTGATAACATTTCAAGAAGCAATGCTTGAGTAATGTTTGTTTTTAGAGAAACAAACATGTTTTTAAACAATAACATGTTTTACCTCAGACAAACAGCCATGATATTTTTTATATATTTTCATGAGGAATATGCTGGAACTGAATGCAAACTCTTTCTTCATTGCTATTTTATTTTTAAAAAAAATCCTTATAATTGACATTTATAGTTATCAATATTAAGTGAACATTAACCCTCTGATGGTACCACAGCCATTTTTCATCCACAGCGTTTTTTAATATTAGGCCATTTTCACTGTGTTGAATAGAATATAGTCAAACCTTCCAACCCTTTTTTTTTTCTTTCGAATTGCAGTCTGAGTTTATTAGATTAGCTTAAAGTGGCTAAGCTACAAACCGCCATCCACATGACGCGCTAGAGCCATAAATCGCCTCATTAAAACCCATTATAAATGCTATTTTTCACTGCAGAATTATTACCGTTAACGTCTTGGTGATTACTTTTCGGTTTCATTTTGGACTAGGGGCCTTAGAATTGTAATTTTTTTATTTGGCCACCGAGTGGCGCCCTTGCTCCACATTTGACGCCTGCTTGAACATCCACCTTTTCCAGCGGGCTGCTCGAGACAGACACCAGGGAGAGGCAGACTCATTCAAACTTTGTATGAATATTTCAGGGAGAAGTAGTTTTAAAAGACTGACCAATTTAAAGTGAAAAAAAATATGAATATATAAATTTTTTATAGCACTTTTTGGGGAATTGTCCTTAGGATGCATTTTTTTTAATGTGCTCCTGCAAAAAAAATAATGGCAGGTCAAAGTGAAGGTCAGTGGTAATTTTTAGACCATCCAAAGGCCTAATTAAAAGTACAATAAAATATAACTTTCAAATGTATTTTATGGAAAAAATTTAATTTTTTCATTTTTTTCGCCAAAAACGGCCGTGCGCTCATGTGACAAAACCGGGATATAGAGGGTTAAAATCCGCGAAATATAATTAAAACTTTAGATGTATATTTCAAGGAGAAGTAAGTCTAAAAGATTGGCTAATTTAAAGTGGAATGAAATATTAATGTATAATCTTTTTCTGGCACTTTTTATGGCGTGGTCGATTTTTGGCTCTAGGACGTCATAAGGGGTACTTTTTTTACGACACTCCAAGGGTTAAGGTGACAGTGCCAAGATTTTGACATTTTCCTGGGACTCTGACACAAATTTTGTGTTTGTTATTGACCTGTGATTTGTTGTCTTCTTTGGAAGTTTAGAATGACTTATGTTTTAGTTTTATATTTCTTGTTGTTCATGTGTTTTGTTATTCTCTCACTCTCCCCAGTAATGTCACCCGCCTTGTAGGAGCACAACCACTACTACCAATGTCACACATAATGTCATGCATAAATCGGTCCGTGGCGCAAAAAAGGTTGGGGACTGCTGTATTAGGCCACCTAGTGATAAGTAGTTATGGTACAGGTAGTGGCGGTCCTAGCCTGTTTGGCGCCCTGGGCGAACACTCCCTCTGGCGTACCTTGCAAACGAAGGGCACCCTTACTCCCAGCAAATGGGTGATAGAAAACCGATCGGTGCCTATGCCGTTCCCAATATGCGCTGGCATGATGTTGGGGCAGCATGAGTACGGGCAATTTTTTTTTTTTTTTGCCGATGCCTGTGATGCCGCCCCCCACCACGATGCCGCCCCGGGCAACCGCCCGCGTCACCCGTATCAAAAACCGCTACTGGGTACAGGTACAGCCTGAGCGAATGCCTGAGCATGTGAGCCTGAGTTCAGGGCTAATGCATTGAATTAACTTGTTTACAGACAACTCTCCACACACATTTGCTGATCCCCCATGGCAGAAGTGTAGCAAAAGTGAAAAGAAGGTAATTGAAACTTATCTACAAATCTGATCACACAAACAGCCAATTGGCTTAGTTTTGCAGAGAGCTGTCAAATCTGTTTCACCTGTCATTTCTCAGTTGTTGCTGAATTTGTGGCCGCTTCATATCAGTGTAGTTTATGAAATGTAAGATTATGCATTCAATGTTGTACACAATGAAAACATTCAGAATGAAAAGCACAAACTATTTTATTATTAAAAGACAGACAACAAAAAGTTGTTCAAACTGCTGACAATTGTCTTTTTTCACTTGACTAAACATGCTTAAACATTTGCAAATGCTATAGAATAGAATAAAAAAAAATTGCAACAGTGCTGAGACAAAGCAACAGCTCAGCTGAAATAAAAGTTAAATTAAACAAAATTCAGTGTGGATATAACTGGTTACAAATCTGATCTCAAATCATATGATCTGTGAGAATAATATTTAACCGAAACAATGAATCTAAAATTAAATTGAACATTACACCAATAAATTACAAAAGTCGATATGTTTGTTGGTGTTTTCAGATGCAATGTTTGAAATTAATGATCAGGAGTGTTACCATTTGTTATTGAATAAATGTTGCATAATTAAAAATATATGCATTTAAAAACAGGACATAAGACACATTCAAATTATTGTAAGATCATTTTTGGTAAAGAGCTTTAAGAAATGCAATGCAATGTACATATTTTAGAAGATGAGGAGAAAGATTTAACAAAATTCTGAGATTTTACCTCAAATGTCAAACATTAGAAACATGAAGAAAATACCAAATTATGAAATTAACTTTTCGTGGCTCAAAATGGGCCTTTAGTGGTTAACTATGCATGCACAGGCAAGATTGTTCATGTGCATTTAGAACAGGGGTGTCAAACTCAAATACACAGTGGGCCAAAATTCAAAA